TGGGATGCCTCATGGCTGGTGGTGACCCCTCCTAGCTAATTTCTGGGGAGAATCCACAGTGGGCATCCCTGGGCACCATCCACAGCTCTGCCCGTCCTGTGCTCAGTCAGCATTTATTGAGCACCTACGGTGTCCCAGGGTCGTCCCCACCAGAGGCCCCAGTTCTCTGGGCTAGAACTCCAGTGGGGATGGAGAATTAACATAACAACGTGTAATGGATGGAAATAGGGTAAAGGAAGGCAGGGGACTTAGAGGAGTGGGAAACTGGGGTGGCCTACTTAGGAGGGGGCATGGATGATGGAACTCACCAGAAGTTAGAAAAGTAACCAGACCTCCACCAAAGGCACTGGGCAGGAGGCATCCTGGTGCTAGAGGAGGGACAGGGCTGTGACCATGAGGGAGGTGCCAGAGCAGGAACTCACCCTGGATCATTGTTACAGTCCCCTGCGTTCTGACGGTCCTGCAGAAGGAAGTGGGGTGTTTTCAGACTATGAATGGGGCTGGGGTGGGGACGGGGGTTCTAGAAGAAGCCCAGGGACTGAGCTGTCAAAGTTACACAGAGTGAGAAGTGAGGAGGAAGCCTGAAGCCAGAGATCAGAGGTCAGGGGTCAGAACATGCACAGTCCAGTCTACAGGGTCTGGAGACAGTGGAAGAAACCCAGTCTCAGCGTCCAAAGGGAAGAGGTAGCTGAATCTCTGTGAGTTTAAGGTCATCCTGTTCTACAAAGCAAATTCAGGACAGCCTGAGCTATACAGTGAGACTTTATCTCAAAATAAACTGGACAGTGGTGGAGCATGCCTTTAATCCCAGCACTGGGAGGCAGAGGTGCACACACACACACACACACACACACACACACACACACACACGGTCAAGCCTGCATGGGCTGATGATCTGCTTATTACCTGTAAGGTGGAGGCTTTCTGGCCTGGAGCTCGCTGATTGGCTATCATGTCCACACCTGTCCCCACATCCCCAGCTGGTGTTGTTGCTGGCCGCACCACAGCTGGCCTTTGACAGGAGCTCCTGGACTGGAACCTGAGTTTGTGTGCTGCAAGGCAGTCGCCTGCCTGACCTAGCATCTCCCTGGCTACAAGGTCTAATAACTGTGCTTTACACACAGGCAACAGGAGACCTTGGCTGAGGCAGCCTGTTCCTTCCACTCTCTTGCTGATGTGTTCAATAACAGCTTCCTGGCCTCAGTTTCCCCATCCACTAGCGTGGGGGTGGGTGGGTGAGTGACCCTGTCTCCATGAAGGGCTATCCATAGGGTGGGTCAGGAACTGTGTGACAGTCACAGAAACCAAGCAGGACGAATTGTGGTTAGATTCCAGAAGGACTTCCGCTGGTTGCCTTGATTGGGCACCCCTTATGTGTCCCAATGAATCGGGATGCCCCGCCAGCCCCGGCCTGCCTTTGGGGGAGATCAGAGAGTGGAAGTGGCTGATGTGTATGTCAACCTCAGATCCAGAGAGCTCTGAGAAATGTGGGGACGGGAGCTCAGGTGATTAGGAAGACTGGAAGAAGTGCTCAGCAATGGAAACAGAAGCCCCAGGGTGGTGCCAGAGCTGTGCAAAGACACCAGTACAAGGAACACATAGGTGCAAAGGCTCCAGGGCGGCATCCAGCCTGTGGCTTGCAGCTCTTGCGTCCAGGGACACAGACGAGAGGGATAGGATAGGGGGAGGCAGAGGCCAACAGCCTTGCCGGCCACAGAGCCATGGAGGACGGCAGACAGGTGGAGTTCCTTGTCCACCAAGTGGCTGCCTGTTGCCTTCCACTGCTGGTTTGTACCACCCACCACCTCCTGCGCCACAGTGCTGCGCAGGGTCCCTGGTCGCTGTCTCCCCAGCCCGCGCCCGCCAGGCCGCCGCCCACTCTGCCCACATCTGAGGCTCCGTGGAGCCGGACAGTCTGCTGCAAACCACGGAATGTTCCCCAGAGCGCCCAGCGGGATGTTGGGGAGCAGAGGGAGGAGGGAGACCCAGTTGAAAGACACAGCAGGGCCAAGCAGGGGCCACAGGGCAGCTTCAGAGCTGTTGACAGCCACAGACATAGGGCACAGGGATGCTGGCCTAACACTGAAAAACACGGAAATGGAGCCGTGAGGGGCTGCTCACTGTCCACAAGGACAGAGCAGGAGACCGGGATTTGAACCCAGGCCTTTCTGGAAGGAAGGAGCTGGGAACTGCTGAGAAACCAGGGGGTAGAAACTAGCTAGACATAGTAGACAGGATCCGTGAGTGGGATGGATGGTGGATCAATTTGATCAATTTGTTGTTTTAAGTCATTTCTTTTTGGCTGATAGGCTGTGCTTTTCTTCCAAGTTAGATATTTTCTCTAGATACTTCATGTTTAGAATCCCAGCACTCAGCTGGACTGTGGTGGTTCATGCTTTTAGTCTCAGTACTCAAGAGGCATATGCAGGTGTATCTCTATGAGTTTGAGGGGTAGCCTGGTCTACACTGAGAGTTTCAAGGCAGTTTGCACTACATGGTGAGACCCTGGGGAATTTTTTAAAGGAATAAAAGAATCAGTTAAGGCTGGACGTTGGTGGCGCACGCCTTTAATCCCAGCACTCGGGAGGCAGAGGCAGGAGGATCTCTGTGAGTTCGAGGCCAGCCTGGTCTCCAGAGCGAGTGCCAGGACAGCCTCCAAAGCTACACAGAGAAACCCTGTCTCAAAAAAACAAAAAAAAAAGTCAGTTAAGACTGTCCTTGTGGGGCCACTGCGTAACCCTGAAGTCCTCTCTACACACTAGGAGGACTACAGGGCACCCTGCACGCTGCCCTGTGACCCCATGTGTGCAACCACAGCAACAGACCATTTTAACAATCGAAACAATATGAGGTGCTCCCTGGTTCTCACTCTTTGGATTGTGTGGTTGGGGTGCAGGGATGGCTCCCCCCTCCACCAGGTCTGTTCCTCCTGGCTGCCCCTGCCATGGGCAGTCTCTGAGGTGATGCCCCCCACACTGGGCTTGGGACCTACCACAGCAAAATCAGTGGAAAATTAAATGCCTCCTGTGCGCTCGGGACTGGCCACCCAGCCCGGCTCCTAATGACCTGTTCCTGGGGATTGTTCCCAGCTGGCGCAGCCAGAGTTGGGGGCTCCCTCCCACGCCACCCAATTTGAGGGGCACAGGCATTCTTGCAGCTGCAGTGGGAGATGTACATGATGCAGTCCATGGCCTCTGTGGAGTCAGAGGCCAGGGGGTGCTCCCCAAATTCAGTGGACAGTCCCCATTGGCCTCTGCATCTGTGGCTCCATCTCGGGGCCCATACTGTCCCTACAGCCAAGGTGTCCTGTCCATTCCAAGCTATGAGATTTGCGTCTTTCGATCCCCATGCTCTGTTCCACGCATTTCTTTACCCAGTTGGCAGCTGTGTGTCTTTGGGTGAATTGTGGTCCTACACTGTGCCTTGTGTCCATGCATGGAGTCATGAACTGGGCTGTGGGGCTTCAGCTGCCTAGGAGCCCTTCCTGTCCCAACCTTCAGAAAGAAACCTGTGGATTGTGGAGGAACCTGCATCTGCACTCTCACGGGCTTCAGTGGGCAGAGCGCCTGCCCAACACCACATGGTCATGGCATCATCCCCGTGCCCAGGGGGCTGAAGCAGAGTTCCAGGTCAGCCTGGGCTATATGACATTGCCCAACTTGGGAGCTCCTGGCTCAGGGTGGATGGAGGCCACAGACTTAGCTGAGCCCAGGCTTCCCTAATCCATCTAAATAACAAAAACAAAAACAAAAAAATGTCACCAGAGAAGGACTGCTCCCTGGGGTGCTGTGTATGTCACAAAAGCCAGAAATCAAAGGTGTGGAACCAGGCAGTGCTGAGAACTGAACCCAGGGCCCTTGCACAGTACAGAGGTAAGTTCTACTCCAGACTCATCTTATGTTCAACTAGGGCATCCTGCCCAGGGCCCCGACAGCTACTTAAGAGCTGGTGTGTCCCATCCTGGACAATGCAGCTCACTCAAACCAACGGCCATGGCTGCAATACCACAGCTGGGTGCTAGAGGGCAGAGCAGGACCATGAGCCGCCGTCTGAGGACGCTCGCAGGGCAGAGGGGCGGGCGCCTGGAGGGTGACAACAAGTGTCTGAAGGTGACAGCAAGTGTCTGAGGATGACAGCAAGTGTCTGAGGGTGACTGCAGGTGTCTGTAGGTTGTAGGGCATGGCTGGTGACAGCAGGTGTCTGTGGGTGACTGTAGGAGGCATTTGAAAAACAGGTGACCTATTGTGTCTGGGTGACTCACTTGGAGCCAGGCGTCCTACATTATTTTATTTATGCATAGTTAACTTTTTTCTGAAGTTCGAAGCATGAATCCAGGGTCTTGCTCAAGTTAGGCAGGGGCTCCACCCTGACCACGCCCTCAGCCCCTCACTGGGGAATTCTAGGCAGGGCTCCTCCACTGAATAATGGCTGGAGTCCTGGTTTTGTTTGCCCAGGCTGGTCTAGAATTGGTGATCATCCTGCCTCAACCTCCAAAATAACCGAGAGGACAGCCCTTTCCCTGCTTGTTGCTTCCAAAACTCTCTCTTTTTAATGTATACAATGTTTTGCCTGCATGTATGCCTGCAGGCCAGAAGAGGGCACCAGATCTCATAACGGATGGTTGTGAGCCACCATGTGGTTGCTGGGAATTGAACTCAGGATCTCTGGAAGAGCAGTCAGTGCTCTTAACCTCTGAGCCATTTCTCCAGCCCCCAAAACTGTCTCTTAAAGAAGAAGTTTAGTGCAGGGAGGTGGCTCCATTGTAGAGAGCACAGGTTTGGTTGCTGGTGCCCACATGATAGCTCACCATTATCTGTAACCCCTGGAACGGGGGTTTCCACACCCTTACCAGGCCGCTGCTTACACGTGGTAGCAACATTCATGTGGGCAAAATACACATCAGGTGACTGTTAAAGGGAAGAATAGCTGTGGCCAAACCATCCCTGTGACAGCCACACTCGGGCTCTGGCAAAGCAAGGCATCATGGACAGAACATGGCATGAGTGGGGATGGCCATTTGCCAATAAAACTTTATTAATAAACTGGGTGTCCATGATCTCGGGGTTGAATTATGTGTCCTCTGGCAAACTCAGTTTATGTCCAGAAGGTCTCACAGATTAGACTAGGCCCACCACTCCCGAGAAGGCTCAGCTGCGTTGTCACCGTCCTATGGCAAAGGATACACAGAGTCTGTCTTGGCAGCAACAGAGACAAGTATGTGACTAAAATCCTGGGCATTGTGGCAACACCCAGCAGACACGGTTAATAGTAGACCCTGGTGGAACAGATCTCACTGGCCAGAGTAGACCCGTGACTGCCGTTTGACACATGTGTACTCACAGACCAAGCTGCTTAGGACTGGTTCCTGGGTGGGGTGGCAGTTGGGTGTCATCATAGCTGTTGAACTCACTGTGACCACAAACCTCCAATCGTATTTCCAACCCCAACTCAAGCTTCTGGGTTGTTTGCTATTATTTAGTGCCAACTGTATACTGCACATGCAATCATTTAGTGCCTACCTTACACCTGGCTCTGAACTCATTACCCACACACTCGCGCTTTGCAAATCTATTTCCCAGGGACGTAAGCCTTGGATTGATTCAGGGTCAGCAGGCCCTGCACGCTTCTGAGCCAGATGAAAAGGTTCCCAGAGCATCGTGCCCTGTGTCCAGCCTTCCAACCTGGCACTTGGCCAGTTGGACTGAGCCTTCTGCACAAATATCCCCCGCAGAGGATGGGGGAGGGCAGGCTGGGGAGGGTGGAGCCGAGGAGAGCAGCCCCCCAGGAAACCCGGAGGACAAGCTGTGCATTGCAGAAAGCCACCCCTGTTCTTATTTGTTCAGCTCTCTGGCAGTGCCCAGCCTGTGGGGTCAGGACACTCTGGCCGGGCCTAGAGAAGACACAGGGCCTTAGGCCACCCTTTGTGCTCTGGCTACTCTTCTGTTTCCAGCAGGGCCTCTGTACCCCCAGCAAGGGCCCTGCTTGTAACATCTGAGCCTCAGTTTCCCCCAGAGAGGAAACATGTTTAATAGCCCTGTGTTCAGCCACTGTGCAGTGTGATTATTTAGTACCAACTGCATTCCTGATGATCAGTTTGTGGAGGCTACCTATGTGCCAGACATGCAGTTATTTAGCGCCAATTGCATGCCAGGCTTGTTCAAACAAAGGTGATAAAAAATCCACACAGTAAGAATTCGCTTAACCCCAGGACATGTCAACACCCATCCCCACCCCACGGTAGGACACCTGGGTGGAAGTGAGCCTCAGGCCTGGCGTGATGCATAGCAACCCAGGTGCAGGATCATCCACGTGCCAACAAGCCCGTTGGTCGAAGACCAGAAGTAACAGCTGCCCCACAGTAGGGCCAGCACCGTGGTACAGATGGGGACACACGTGAAGCCCTGGGACTGTCACACAGGGCATCCAGGTGTTTCTGTGCCCTGAGGACCCTGTGGGAGACCTGAAGACCCCCATCTTGCTCCCCCCCCCAGAGTTTAGAAGGCTGGGGAATGGTGTGCTTGGTCCCCTCCCCCATGTCCTCCCCCCTCCCCCTGTGAGAGAGGGACACATGACCCAGTGACACCAGGCTGCTCAGCCCAGCTGCATGGGAAGCTGAGGCAGGAATATCAAGAGTTCAAGGCCAGCCTGGGCCAGTCAGAGGTAGTGTCTCAAAAATTAAAAGGCTGGGGCCATGGTCAGTGCTGATGACCTGACTATAATCCCCCCCCTGAGGGGCTGGGGGCGTAGCTCCT